ACTTCACTGTATGCAGAGCGAAATTTTAAAACTACAGTGATAATCTTGCAGGCAGGCAGAAATTCGAAATTATTTGAAATCACAGTAAAAAATTTATAATTTTCGTGTGGTAGTAATATTTTTTTAACTCTGTTCTTCTGAAATATAAAATGTATTTTAGTGGGAAATAATCCGTATGATTTTCGATGCTGTTTATTCAACTCATTGCATGCGCGAAAGATACTTTTACGTTTTTTGAAGTCTGTCATTCGAAAGCAGGTCATTTAAAAGTACGTATTTAGTAAATTGGGGCTGGACAGTGGATATCATATAAATACGATGATCATTGTAAGTATGATGTTTGTGTGTGTCGATTTATTGCGATCTTACTGAATGACCAAAGTCTGACGAAATTTAAGAAAAAAACGCCCGCTAGACGCGTAAGTCCGCTGCGAAATATAACTACATGCAGTGTGTTAATTGCGGCTGATAGATCTTTTCCATCAGTTATTGGAATGTACCAAAGCAAAAGGTGTTATCAACTGTCTTAGTTGTTCTTCCATCGCTCTTCTCCCCGCCATTTAATCCTAGCTTTAGATCAAAAATTGTTACATACGTACAGGTTCTTAGTGGATTAAATGCACACAGAACCGATGACAGCTTGATAATTTTTCCCCAAAAGAAACAGTTTACAGTTCTGGAACTTTTCAGAAAAGTACTTGTACAACTCTCAGTATGGCAGAGCACAATCAGTAGTTACCACATCAAACTACTAAGAACGCTACGTACAAAACTTTATAAAAACATTCCGTCCTTAAGCTCGCACAGTGATTTCACGGTACGTTGAGCTAAACTCCGAAATTAACTTTGAACTAAACGGAAAACTGATGCTCTCTCTGGTCTTATATAATTTTCCCTGGCTACATGTCCAGTACCTTCGATTTTTCGAAATTGCTGGAAGGCATACACAGTTGCAATTACGCAGGACCAGAACAAAATATCCCCAAATGGTCAAGTTTGGCGACTTTTGGTGACTAAACTTAATCTTTAAAACAATCTCCAGCTTGGCGCTATCTCTCCAATTTGGAGAGGTAGTCATTTACCTCAATGTTATATGGAATTATCCTTGTAAACTTATTTTTCCATCGGAGCTTTGCATTTTTAAATCCTTTCACGTTACACTACACAAGTGATCCACAGTTCCATACAACCTTATTAAAACCACTTACTTATATACAAAATTCGTAGCAATACTAATAAAAAAACTAACTAAATAATTATCCTGCCACTCTTAATATTGATTTACGCTAGCAACCTATAATACGGAGAACCATGGTATAGGCTCATAGCCGACCAATCTAAATATGGATGCGGGAAATTCCTCCCTCTTCGCTAATAAAAGTAGAATCCTTTCCAGGAAATCTTTCACGTAGAAAATATGAAGTGTTTCACAAATCGACTGAAAGCCACACGCATTGTATGATGACCACCATAAGATAATGCTTTCTTTTTTGCACATTCTCATGTCGGTTCATTTTAGCTGAATTTTGCTGATCTTTAATTAAATTCTCTTTTGTCTTTCGTGAATATGTATTGCTCCTGATGTAAAAGTATAAATCATTTTACTATTTCTGTTGCTCTAAAATGCAAAATTTTGCATATGGTTAATTTGGATTCAAGGGAACATACATGGTCTGTGGTAAACTAACTTGAATTTTTTCAAAATCGCGAAAAGGATGTAGAAGACTAACTTTTACTACTTACCAGAAAACTGCTTAATCAAAAGGCTTTGCAGAGATGATTTTCTGATATATAAAATTGGATCTACTGCAGCAAGCATGCCCAAAAGACGGAGATTCATTTTCATTGAGCTTTGATCAACCTTTCTTTTGTCCTTCGTGAACATTAATTTAAGAATGAGCTCAACTGATAATCTCTCAACTCATTTTACTGATCTTGTTACTTTCACGTGTAAAATTATGGATTTGGCTAATTTGGATCTAAATGACTGCACATTGTCTATGATAAATTTCTTCAAAAATCGATGTCAGTTGGAAAAGAAGCATACCTAGAAAATTACAGTATACCATACGAACTTATAGCATACCCAGGGAAATTGCTTAGTCGAAAGATCCCACAGAGATGAATTTTTCACTATGTCGCATTAGACCTACCGTAGCAAACACGCTCAAAAGATCGAGGATAGAGGAGATAGCGAACTCGAAAACAAATAAGAAGAATAACAAATCAATCAAGTTTGAAAATTATCCAGTTCCTGCTGGCGTAAACTCAGGAGCAACGTAAACCGCTACAAAGAAATTAAAGATGCCCCTTATTACGTCACTTCACATTCTGAACATTAAGTTGTCTAAGAACTAAGAAAATATTCTTAAACGAGATGATAAAATTCAAACAGCAGTAACTAAAGCTGCCCCTGAGATTGAAAATTATTCTGCCTCTTGGGTAACGCCTAAGAAGTCCTGAAAGCGAAAGTTTCTGACCAGATGGAAATAGACATTATTGAAGGTGAGAACTCAAATATGTTTCATCAGATGATGAAAAATCGGATAAAAAGGGCCGTCAGATAATTGCACCCAGAAGAAAAATATCAGAAGCCATAATATAAGAAAACGACGCTATGAGAAAAACCTTGAAAGTACAGGTGGGATAAACAAGAAGGTTTTATCCATATCTTGACGTCGAAGAACATTAATTTTACAGAACTATGCAAAAGAACTTCTGCTTATTTGCGCTGAAAGACTTGCCGTTCATAGTACCATCCGCATATTTATAAAACTTTCCTGTGTACACAGACAAACAAATATTTACAGGATAAGATAATTCCTTTTCATACCTTGATACTGCATGTGTAGCGAGTCGTTATAATAAAGCTCACCCCAAACACTCGAAAATTTGCCTATAGCAAGCTGACAGCAAAGAAATATCCCTTTGCCAAATTGGAAATGTTTTATAGCTGATAGGACGACTACCTGCTAGTGTAGCATGAATCTCCTCCCCGAAAAAAAAATGGCAAAAAACAGTTCTTGCCCTGCAGTTAATGGTTGTCAAGATTTCACATGTCGAACTCATCACTTACCCTTCAAGGGGAAAGTATGTGAAACAACTAAAATCCCAAATCAGGATGAGTCACGATGGTTCGACAACTCACAATGGTTTCGTTCGACACTTAAGCCACCCAGGGGTAATAAATGAGCAAACTATGTTCTTCATGTTGTTCCAACTTCTTTAGTTTTGTGGAATTTTCAATTTTAGCGAAGAAAGTCAAAATTCGGTGTCTAGTTTGAAAGGCCTTGAACTTCTACTGGAAACAGTTTACCGTTCTGGAAAGAAAAGACTGGTTCAGGCAAATGGCGGAAGGAACTACAAAGTATACAAATATAATTTTGGCAATTCATCTAGTAATTGTGGAAATACCGAAGGTCGAATTTCTACCCATGTTATTAATGGGGTGGGGGAAGGTGGAAAATTTTATGTGTCAATTGCTAGAAATTTCCCAAATGTATTCAGGTACAGTAGGCGAACAGACTTGAATTCCCATGTTATTCTTAACTTTCCTGAAATTTGTCATCTTAGTGAAAACCCTAAAATTGGATCGACGATTTGAAAGAGTAGAACTGCCACTAGGGATTCGCACCTCGCCCAGTTCAATAGTGGATGAAAAACTATAAAATACCTATATGAATTGTGGTGGTCTTGCTTAGTTTTGCCTAGATATCTCACGTCGAATTTATCCAAGTCAGTTGTAAGGAAGAAAATTTGGGAGAAAGTGGACCCCTATATATGGAAAAAACCCCGATAGACTAGCACGAAATTTCACGGACATATTGAAGGGCAGCGAACAATCTAGGAGCCATGCGTTATTCTGTTACGGAGTCTAGGAGCCATGCGTTATTCTGTTCTATAGTTACGGTAAAATTTTCCAATTCAATTAAAACTCCAAAAATGGGCGTCTGAAAATTGAATCTCAGTGGAAGGTGGAACTTCCACTGGGACGTTCTGGAGTGGGCTAGAGAAAAAATGAGCGAGGAACGAAAATTACTCGGAAAAAATTTGATCGTACAACTAGAAGTTGTCGAATTATCTCACATAAAATTTCTTCTAGTGCTGCACTTTCTAAAATTAAGTACGGTACAGAAATACTTAAAAATTCTCTTTACTACGCCCACCAGCGGCCGAGCGGTAAAGACGCTGAAAACTAGTAGTTCGGTCTGAGGTTCGAATCCCGCGAACGGGCATGGCTGCATGGGCGTTTTCGTGGTTTTCCCCATGTGTAACGTGTATACGAGCCAGTTCCCCTTAGAAAGTCCTCCACGAAGGCATCCCTCCCTTTAGGCAGATAGCCCTCGTGGGCTTTGCCATAATTAAATAATCCAATCCAATCTCTTGACTACATTGTGCCAAATATTTTGTTTCTTAGAATTAAAAAATATTTAATTTTTATATTACAAAATTTGTTTTGAAATAAAATAAGATAGAGGGAAAATAAATTTCTATCAATTGGCAATCATTCAAAATTTTATTTTACTGGAAATAAAATAATTTTATTTTTAAATTGGGAACTTATACTGAATAAAATACAATAAAGGTGATATTAAATTTCTCTCTCTTCATTACATTCAAACTTTTTTCATTACATAAATTTAAAAAAATTATTTAAAAACTGCAAAATCTTTGCTGATATAAAATTCGATACAAAAAAGTATGCTTACTAAAAAAAATTATTTGTATTGTTTACCGAAAGAGAGGCAACTAGTTCAGAATTTTTCGAACAGATTCTCACGTCTCACTTAGTTCAGATACTGAAAATTCTGTTATATGTATGCAAACAGATTTTCTCCTTCAATATAAGTGAAAATAGTCCCTTATAGCAACCTAAAGATTCTCTATGCTAATAAATTTTAAAATGTGACTTTCACTGATAGTTTTATCATTTAGAATTAAAGCTTATCAAGATAAAAAAAATCGCTCCAGGTGTTTGTGTCCGTGGGTAATATATCCATCACTGCATTAAGCAATCGAAGTTATTATCGCGCATAAATTCATTTTTTGTAGCTGGTTATTGAAAGAGGTAAGTATGAAGATATATTTATGAAACTTATATCGTGATACATTCATTAATTTTGGTTTGGAATATCGAAATTTTGACAAAATGTTTGTATTGTTTTGAAAAAATTAATGTAAGTTTTTTACCTAGAATAAAATTTGCACTAACCTACGCTTCTAATTTTAAATGGATTTTTTAGGAAGGGAAAAAATATTTCATTGTGTAAGGTATATTTTAATTAATATGTTATTCTTATGTTAAAAATTTCACTTCACTTCTATTGCTTCGTCTATTCCCTCAAATTTTGTGAATGAAGTTAGTTTAAATAAGGATAGATTCTAAATTTAAGAGAAAGACTTGGTAGGATCAGCCTGCTGTGATGGAACTCGAGTCTCATGATCTGACTTTGGTGTTATTGCCATGAGTTGATGGGTGTCTCTGATTGAAAATTAAGCGTGGTCTGGTCATTATACTTTAAATAAAACTTGTAAATAGTCTGAATCGTTGTATTTTGTCCATCATGCAAGAAGTGGAAATTATTTTTATTTGTTAGTTCCTATAATTTTAGGTTGAAGTTCATATAACTCTTTTAGAAATTTAACATTGTTGCATTTACTAAGTATTTTGGACTGCCAGCTAAAAATAGGACAAAAATACACCTGGTAATCTAAAAGATTAAAACGCTGTTTGAAGTAAGTCAAGCTGAGTTTGACCTTAAAGTTTTTTCCAGAAAGAAAATCTCCATTACAGTTATAAATTTCAAGCTAGTCAATAGATAATTTAATCATTCTCATTGTTTATAATTTATATTTGGTTTTCTCACGATTTAATGAAATCAACCGTAGTGTAAACAAAAACAAAGAAGTTTCTTCTGAGATGACACTTATTTGAAAAATTAATTAGGTTGATATCTTGATCGTAACTTTGTTAATTAATGTTCGTAACTTTGTCTTTTGATAAAACCCAAAGTTAGAAATGATCAACCCGTTTTAGATATGATCAACCATTTTAATATTTATCCTGAAATGCAGTACAACAATTTATATGTTCACTGCCAATTTGATGAAAAATTTACATACATTGTTTACGTGTAAAATTTATGAATCGAAGTATAAACAATTTTCTCAATCCATCAAAAGTACATTGAGCGGAGCAAACAGTTATATTAATGAATTTTCAGACTTCTGTACCTGAGAGAGCATACTCCTATTTTTAATGGCGGTATGTTAACTGGAAGATGATCACGCCAATATAAAATTCAAAGTAAGACAAAACAAGAAAGCCTCAGCTGGCGTAGATTCTTAAAGGAACCTTTATTGACTTCGAGATATGTTTTGCCTAATTTAGGATGGCATACTGTTTCGTTAACTGAGCTGAAATTTTAGAAACACCTCTTTATAAAAAAAAGTCGTTTGTCAGTGCATTAGGTGTGTGTGTGTGTTGAGAATACGGCAAAGCACACTAGGGTTATCTGTCTAAGGGGAGGGATGCCTTCGTGGAGGACCTTCTAAAGGAAATCGGCTGGTATACATGTTACACATGGGGAAAACCACGAAAACGTCCATGCAGCCAGCCCGTTCTCGGGATTCAAACCTCGGACCGAACTACCAGTGTTCAGCGGTTTTACCGCTCGGCCGCTTGTGGGTCCAGTGCATTAGGAATTCTTATTTTGTATAAATTAATAATATATCCGTTCTTTGCCCAATGGGAATGTGGAAAAAAGCTATTTCTATACGAAACGTAAAATACAAGTTCCTTGAGATATGAAAGTAAATACCTGTTATTGAAAAGTAATAAAAGGCACATATATGAAAAAATGTAATTTCCATTGCTTCAGATAAAAGAAATAGAAATGTTTTTAGGTTTCACAATAATTTTAGTCATAACAGACTGATTACATTTGAAAAACAAATTAAATATCTTACGCTCTGCAAACCGTGCACATAGATGTCTTTATGTGGTCTTTGCTTTCTCAAGCGTTGATCGTAGACATATGCTCCCATTACAAAAATGTTTAAAGGGCGCGAATATTGATGTTTTGAAAATTACAAATTAAAAAAACAATTTTATAAAAATTACGAAATTAAACTTTTTATACGGGCCTCCGTTCTCGATATCTACGCTTACTAAACTTTTACACACATTCAAAAAATTAAAACACATATAGAAATAAACAGAAATAGACACAGACACACACAGAAATAGACTCTCTTACGAAAGAAATTGATTAAGGTATGTAATTTTAAAATTTGTGATACTCAAGGGTCGTACACAAATTGAAGAGTGAAATCTTTGCAAATGCACGCACATAAAATTTAAATATCAATGTAAACAATATTTCTGACGTTTATAGATGAAATAACGAGTACTCCTAGTCTGTTGTGAAAATTGTTATTGATGAATTCAATTTTTTTTTTCTTCAAAGAAGAAGATTTTATTCACATTATCTTACAAAATTCATGTTCCTGAAAACAAAGTATTGACATATAGCCAACTCGGTAACTTCAGTATTGACATATAGCCAACTCGTAACATTATTTGCCAAAATTGAAAATGAAATATCATCCTAGTTTAACTAATTTTCAAATGATTTATTAAATTATGATTATAAAAGGATGGAAACGTCCTGAGAATATAAATAACGTATTTTTAGCAATTGAAAGTTACAAGATACTGCCTTGAAAGTTCTTTCGACATAGCATTTGTAACAAAATTATAAATTTAAAAAATGTGATACACTAGTAAACAGCAAAAAAAATATCATTGAATGACATTAATGGGGAAGAAATCAACCTAGAATTATTGCAACTAATTCTTTACTGACCTCTCCAAGGCAAGCTGAAAGACACGTAAAAAATAACTAAATTTAGATTTTTTTTTTTTTTTTTTTTTTTTTTTTTTTTTGTGTGTGTGTGTGGTATAGGAATCGAACGTTTTCTGTTTTATTTTTCATAATGTATGCAAAGGTTTACATATAATAACGTGTAGTAAAATTTTTTGCGCATTCATTAGGGGTCGTCAGTTTGAACGTTAGAAAGACGTTATAAAAAATTACATTTCGTAAGTTTTACAAAGTTCATTTTTAAATTTTAAATTATCATAATATGAAATTTTGCGTTATTTACAGCATTTGTTAAATGTCTTAGACTAAGGGTTGCGAAAATAAAGGCCGCGTAAGGACTTTTATGTACACGATGCCTAGTAAACCTTCAGGACGCAATTTTTCAGTGCCACGACAAGAAGGAAATGAAAATTCCCATCCATATTTTATATCGAATTATACAACAATTCAATCACTTTTTGAAATTATTCTAAATTTTAAAGCTCTCAATAAGGATTCCTTTAGTGCTGCGCTTTTGAAACTCACGCGATGGCATTTCAAGCTTTATCATTCTAATGAATTCCATAGTTCCTTATTTAGGCTCAACAATGTGTCATAAGTTATTCTTGAAAACGAAATCTTTCATTAATTTCCATATAAGGATGTCTGGAAGTGTGTCAGACGATTAAGTTGATCAAGAAGAAAGTATCAGAAGATCAAGCTGATCAATGAGTTTACGTAATACCTCGAAGTTCTTTCAAACGGAGAATTTGAAAAAAGTTATTTTTATGTGGTAGATTATGTAGCTGTGCTGAATTTATACAAAAGATTGCAGTCACCCGAAATACTGAACAACGCATTGCAAGAAATTATGCATCAATAGGAATATTATACGCAGAGTCAACTCACGATTAACCATGAGTGAATTAACCGAGTATTACGAAACAATGAAAAAAAATTACGATAACAAACCATCAGTGTAAGGCAAAACTACTTAAGGAAAATACATAGGATAGCATCAATGACAGCAAATGATGTCATTATATACAGTAGTTGCTTTTGATATTAGGCATTTATGCTTCACCTTCTTAATTTATTCCAATTTCGGTACTTTGCCAAAATTTAAATATTTAATGCTAAAAATTAAAATGTTTCTATTTTGAATTTTTATGTGTTCATTAAAGGGAAAACCTTCCGTTATCTTTTGTGTGAAATTTTCAACTCAAATTTAAATTCCCCATAATTCAGATAAATTTAACTATAGTACTCTAATTAGAGAAGTCTTTTAGTCCCATATTTAATTATTCGTAACTTATTTGTGGGGAATCTTGAATATCTATATAGTAGAATTAAAAACAAAAATTTCTAACAATGTTTCTTTAGCGAATTTGAACTCTTTGACTTTGCTAAAGTTCTCTTGCGTGTATCGTTCTATTATATTTAGTTTCTTCCTTTCTAATGATGATTATGCTTCCGTTACTTACAACGAGTTATCTTTATTTCACACACTGAATTAGTTTACTTAAAAGAATTTATTCTTTAGATCAAACTGGTCGTAATTTCATAATAGTACTTTTCTGTTACTTATAATATGAATTACTTCTCTTTCCTGTATTTTTAACTGCTCTTAGATTAACCTTGATTTTGAATTAAACATAGATTTCGTCCTCGGTGTTACCACGGGTAACTGGGAATTGATTGTGTAAGGAATATTCTCCTTGCTTACCGGATACCTTTCCGGCGTAATAGAGAAGCACGTCCGGGAAAAAGTCGGAAAGTCTAGAGTTCTAATCAAGGTGAGGACAGAGCTGCTTTTTCGCGTTTCCTGCTTTCCTAAGCATTAATACATTTTAAGTGGCTTACGCCTGAATATACTGGATGATAATTCATCAACACCTGTATTTGGAGCTTGGGTCCTCTCCTCCACAGTCTCCCTTTGAGTAGGAGAGAAAATAAGGAACTTTGTTTTGCATTATAGCGTAATACAAATTGGCTTATTGGTGTAATGACTTATTGGTGTAATTGGAAACCACATCCTACTGGCGATCGAAAGGTCTGGAGTTCGAATTTCGTAGAGGGTATCACTAATTTTTCATGATCCTGTTCTTAAATAAACCTTATAAAATATATCTCTAAACGAGTTCGTATTGAATAGCTTTAAAATTTAACATTTATGTCAAAATATGTTCGAGCTGCCACATAA